CCCAGCATATTCTAGGAATTTGTGCTAAGCCCTGAGAACATAGAAAAAAAATCCACCAAAACCCCAGAGCAAAACAAACAAACAAAAAAACTCATCAGTCTCTGTACTCACAAAGCTCCTAGTTTAATAAGTGAGATGATAGGCAAATAGCTATGTAGAAACACAATATGGATGGGACCAATGGGAGATAACCTTAGAAGGAAGGCATAAGACTATGGAGGACTGGGAAAGGCTTTTTGGCAGAAGGTGATATTGACACTTGAAACAAGCCAAGGTAGCCAGGAAATAATGAGGAGGAGAGTGGGCATTCCAGACAGGGGACAGCCAGGAAAATTATATAGAGTTGAGTGTTGGGTGTGAAGAACAGCAAGGAGGCCAGTGTCACTGAAGCTCATAAAGGTGAAACAATTTGTCACTACTTCCCTATTTACTATGTCCATGGACTCGAACATGCCTCTGGCTTCTAAAGTAAGTGCATATTTCATTATTTCTTGGTGTATATAGCTTTAAGATTCATATCTTAATCCTTCCACTCACAGCTAGAGGAATTCTCTCAAAGAAGCTAAACATTTAAAAAAAATTCTTCTGAAGAAACCAATGACTTATATCACATGGATTTGTGCCTTGCAATAGCAGGCACTCAAATATTGGTTATTTGCACTATACCTTGACTAGGTAAAGGGTCTCCTTTTATTGCCAATCTAACCACTCTCCCTAAAAATAATTTGAAACTTCTTTCTCTCTCTCTCTCTCTCTCTCTGGAACCTGAAAACCATTTCACCACAGCCAGATCAAAGCAGATGTAAGCTGGGCTTCTGTAGCTTCTGGGTGAATGTTTTGGCTTAAAGTACTGCTCAGAACCTTAGGTTCTAATGAACAGCAGCCAAGATGCCTTTGATGAGGTTGTCTCTGCTTTGCAGGATATAAATATGAAATCCCGCAGACAAGTCTTAAGAGACTTCTTATGAAGGCACAGGCTGCCATAGGGCATTAAAATTAGCTTAGGGTTCCTAAAAGTAGCTGAGGGCTTCTCAATTATCTGCTACAAATACCTTGCAATCACCAATTTTGGATAAGAATTGGAGCCATCAGGATCACCCAGCAGTCTCTGCAAATGAACAAGAGTAGCTCAATGCTGCAAGTCAATCAACATTTTTATTAAAAAACAAACAGCATATGTCTCAGTACTATGCTAAACACTAGAAACACAAAGAAGGCAAAAATGAAACAAAATGAAAAACAGAAAGACAAAAAAAAACCCTTACGCATAAATGACAACACACACAAACCCCCTCAACAATCCTTGCCCTCAGGGAGCTTACATTCTAAAGTGGAGGATGACATACAAATAACTAGGTACACAGTAAGATATATAGAGAAATATAATCTCAGAAGCTCAGAGACTTGGGAAAAAACTTACGTAGATGATGGGATTTGAGCTGAATCTTGAAGGAAGCCACAAAAAAAAGAGGCGGAAGTAAATGGACAGAAGGTAGCTCGTGCAGTAGATAAAGTACTGGACTGGGAATTGGGAAAACTCATCTTCTTCAGTTCAAATCTGGCCTCAGACACTTACTAGCTGTGTGGCTCTGGGCAAGTCACTTAACTCTGTTTGTCTCAGTTTCCTTATCTGTAAAATGAGCTAGAGAAGGACATGGCAAACTAGTATCTTTGCCAAGAAAACTCCAAATGGGGTCATGAAGAGTCAGACATGACTGAACACTATGTAAACACAATGCTAGCTACTGTTTGTGCTAAATACTGGGGACCCAAAAGAAGCAAAAGGCAGTCCTTGTCCTCAGCAATTGTCCAATAGAAAAATTTTAACATTATAAAAAACAAAAATAGAATTGTGTATGAAACCATACAACTACAGCAAATAGGCAGAGCATTCCAGGCATAGGGGACAGCTAGTGCAAAAGCTGGGGGATGGGAGATGGAACATTATGAATGAGGACCAACATGTAGGCAGTGTAGCTGAAATGTAGAGTGTTCTGAGGGGAACAAAATATAAGACTAACCCTCAAACTCTATTTAGGATATGGCTATTGCTTGTTAGAACTTGAGGTTTCCACTCCAAAATCATCTGCCACACCTAGAAAGAAGTGTTCCAGGTTTCTCCTTCTTTGTTTCCTCATTAGAAAGTTGAGCAATTTTTTTTCTTTTAATTGAATTTTGTGGAATGGATGGGGAGCAAGGACATTGTTTTTATTTTAAAAATAATTCTAGGAGAGAAGGCTGTAATTTACCACATTTCTTAGGGGGAAAGTATTTCAAGTTTATTTGCACAATAGTAAGCAACATTCTTGCCAATATTCTTGCCTTTTCCCATTATTAGTATGTGTATGAACCAAAATAATTAGAGAAAAATCTCATTAGCATCATTACCTTATCCGTTATTACTTACTTTCAATTTTAGAAAACCCTCATTTCTATTAAAAAAGTACTATAGGGAGAAAAAATGATATTTTACTGACATAAAAATTTTACTTAAATGAGACATAAATGTTTCTCACCCTAAAGTATAACTACACTAGGATATTCTTACTTACCATTTTATAGCAACTCCATCCTATGCTGACTTATCTTTGATTTATCATAAACCTGTAGTTCACACAAAAATACTTTATAAACAAAATCTTTAACTCAGTTCAGATCAATAGACATTCATTCAGTCCCTACTATGTGCAGAAGATGAACTAAAGGATTCAACAGTGAATAAATCCAGTTCGTGTCTTCAAGGAGTTTACACCTGAGTGGAGGAGATAAGGCAAATTCAGATAACTCCAATATAAGGTAGGGGAAAAAAAGTAAGGGGCAAAGTAAGACAAAATAAATGGCTTTGGAACTGCAGAAGAGAAAAACAAATTAGGGATAAAGCTCCTCTGAAAAATATATGAAGACTGTCTCTAGAAAGAACATTTGAATTAGGGACACCAGGACAACTAATATACTTTCTACATGCCAGAACCATGGTTTGGAATATTGCCTTTGAAAACCCCTTACTTGGTAAAGTGTATGAGATAAAGACATCTTTCAGGATAGATGAAAAGCTGAGTCACTCCCAATGGACTTGAACATGGGATATTCAGCTTCTAAGCCACATGCTACCAATAGCGGCATTATAAAAAACAGTACATGATATTACACTGATGTCAAAGTTCTCTTCCTCAAATTCCTTGGGAGATGTTAGAATCTAGAAATTGCTACTTCTGCCTCTGAAGTGCAGTCACCTCTAGGATATTTCATGGGAGCAAGGGAATAGTGACATGGAGACTAAAACTGCACAGGAGCAATAAAACAACGACAACAACAACAACAAAAAACAACCTCATTCTCAAAATGAAATCACTAGAAAGATTTTCAGCAGCAAGATGTAATCTTTCCCACTTGGAATTTTATTGAGATATGGAAACTAATGTGCCAGGCCAGAGATCTCTGAAGAGTACAGTCTTGGTTTGGGGCACTGTGAGAAGTTTGATTGTGCAATTTTTTCCTCTAGTAGTTCAATTAAATTACTGTGTAATATCAGAATAGGAAGAAAGTAATTTCTGGGCCTTTTTTTTCATCCCTTTGCAATAGTATTCTGGTGTGTGATTAAGCAGGACTTGTCACAGATCTAGAGTACTTGAGAAGGAGGAGATAAGATTTGAAGTGATAACTCATTTCTTTCCTTACAGGTCTGCAAATAAGGAATCTAAAGAAAACAGGTTTAAAAGTGTGTGTGTGTGTGTGTGTGTGTGTAGGTGGGCTAATTATCCTGTATGCATCCACATACACATTATATATATATATACACACACACACACATGTCTATATATATACATATATATATGTATATACATATATATTAAAATAATTAAAGTGAATCAGCATTTTTACAGGATTTATCTGGGGATAATGCCATCTTAGCACCTGTGGTTACAAGAATTTCAAGACAAAACTCATTTATCTAAACCCCAATCATGATGGGAAATTTTTCTCAACTCATCATTTATGGGGAACAACTGTGTTGGGAATAATCTTACCTAGCATCCTAAAGGATCCAATCATGGAAGGAAAAATTAGTTAAAGCAATCTCATCTGGGAAGAAAAAGAGCCCAGGTGCAGAATTCACCCTAAATTATTGGGATTTGCATGCTATTTTTAAAAAGTCCTGCTGTTTCAAGGTTGTCTTGAACAGATTAAAAAAAAAAGATGGTTAGGGCAAACATACCAGAACAAAACTACTATTTGTGTAATATCTTCATAAAACAAACTGATTTTTCAAAGAGCAAAAGTAAAGGTCATATAATTTATACCAAGCAAAGGGGCTTTCTGCCTCTTGTATTCAGGCAGGCAGATGCACCCAGCAAAAACAAACTGAGAAGATAAATGAACAAAGTAGATTCAAAAGGCATTAAATAGCAAAGGGTTGAAATTTAGTGTTTAAAATACACATGAACAGAGCCAGAGGTTAAACTAGTTTACATCATAGTTCACCCACATTTATTTTCCCTAGACCCCTTCCATCCCCCAGGTTAGCATCTTAGCTAATGAAGCACATTGCCATTATTAATCAGACAGAATTACTCATTAAATGAACGCAAGGTGGTCAGGATCAACTTGCCAAGTACAAAACAACTTGCAAGGCTAGCCTAGGATAGCATCCTGAGTAGACTCTGCCAGTTTCCCACCCTGGAAACTGCCTGTGGACCATAGGCACGCTGTCAGAACCATCCTATTTCACAAAGGAGCCGTCCAACACAATTGCACTTCCCTCCCGGTATGAAATGTCAGGGTCAATTGAAAGAAGACACACAGCACATTGATTGCACACGTGGAGCATGCTGATTTTCAAACTTTGACTCAACTTTGGCAGGACTTAGCCCAATCCTGAACCAGTCAGTCCCCTACCAAAAGCCCCAACTGTGAGCAGCCTCTTTACCTTCCGAAAAATCAATCAGTCCCAGCAAATGAAGCAGCTTCAGAGACGCACATATAATCACAACAATACCCACTGTTTGCAGTCCTTCCGACTCCCACTCTAAAGTCAACATTCTCCAAGCAGGCAAATCATTCCAGGCTCCACACCAGCGGGGAAGAGCGGGAGGCAGGTAATTAGGGGGCCGGCAGCCTCTAGCTCCCGAGAAGGAGTTGCAATAGGAAAAAAGTGAGCAGCTCCTCTCCTCGTCGCGGTGGAAAGCAACTGACTCTCCCGGCGGAGAAGCGATCCCAAGCGGAGGCCAGTCTCCTTTGCTTCTCTTCCCATCTGTTTAAGGGAGGAGAGGGGCTGCTTTTGCACGCTGCCGAGGTCCACCTAGCTTCGGTTCCGTGAACATCGGGACCAGCTGCAGTGGATGAATCTCGAGAACGTCCAGAAAAACAGCTGTTTCAGAACTGGAGACTTTGCTGTGTCAGTTGAAAGAAAAAACACTCCCAGGAAACTTGCACTAGGGAGCACACTGCCACCAGCACTGTTCATCCTAATGTTCCCAGACTCCAGCTTTGCAAGTCTGTTCAGAGCTGTTTTAACACTATTTTGTGTGCGTGTGTGTGTGAAGCTTGACAAACGCCCATTTGCCAAAGGCGGCTCCTTTCCCTCACAGCTAGCTCGTTAGAGGAAAAACTAACCTCCTTCCACAAAAAACAAAAATACCCAGGGATGATATTTGCAGATGTAGCCCCTTCCTCCCCCAGCTCTCCCTTCTCCTCCACATTCCACCTGCAATGTATTCCAATAGAAATGAAAGGACAATACATGACAGCTGGGAGTTCTTTGTCAATCTTGGCTTCAGGTCTTACTTAAAGGGATGCCTAATTGAGCACCTACCACACAGGCTTCCCTGTCACAAAGGTCTTATCTGGAGGCTTTGACAAGATTAATTTGGCTGGCAAGTTTACTAACATAAATATAGAGGGGGGGCAGAGAAGGCAAGAACACTGTGGACATGTGGATTCTTAATCAACAGAAGGGCAAGAAGGAATGGTCAGGCAGCTGAGTTTCTTTCAATATACAGCCCAGGACTTAACCCAAGTGAGGAATCTTCCCAAGTATGCCTATACATACACACTCATGTTTTCTTTCTCTAAAGACTACACATGAAGGGAGAACCGACATTCCATGGAACAGCTAAGTGAAAACATAGCCCAGGTCCTGCCAAGATCACTTAAGCACAATCAGTTCTGTGTTCCCAGCAGTTGCTGCTCTCTTGCTCCAGTATCATTCTCCTAACTCCAGGGATAGCAACATACCAAACCAAGCCTAATATCCAGGAACACATGATGGGCCATCTGGGGTGCCTTAGCACACTTTCTTATCAATTACCTTGAATCCTAGCTAGTCTTCAAAGCTCAGTTTCACCTTAGATCACAGTACTTACTGCTGGAAGGAACTTTCGTGGATCAAAGATCATCATATAATTATAGATTTTTGAGCTGGAAGGGACTTTATAGATCATTGAGTTCAAGCCTCTCATTTTAGAGATGAGGGAACTGAGGCTGAGAGACAGTAAATGACCTACCTAGCATCTCCAAGTTCAATACTCAATCCACTACCATGGAGGTGTCACACACATGTCTTTGTCCAGCATGTGGTCAGCAGCATTCCTGATTAAAATGTAATTGGGAAAAATTTAACAAAATGAATGGAAATACAATAAAACATAGACACCATTTCATTTTAAAAACTAAGTCAATATGCAGCCTGCAAGGAAACATAAAGACATATTAGTGCCCCCCCACATTTGAGTCTGACATCATTGTATTACAGTAACCTGAAAAGAGCTACCTCACACCACTAGTTTTACAAATCAAGAAACTGAGAGATTAAAGTGACTGCCTACAGTCACACATTGTTAGAGGATGAATTGCAAACCTGAGTTCTAATTCCCATTCTTGCTTTGTTTTCATTCTACCATGGAATGAGTGGACAACACTGTATTTGAAGTCAGGTAAATTTAGGTTCAAATCCTGCCTTTGACATTCACTAACAGCTTTGTAACCCTAGGCAAGTCACTTTCTTAGACTCAGCTTCATGTGAAAAATGGGTATAAAAACTGAGTAGTTACCTCGAAGAGTTGTGAGATATAATGTATTTAGAGGTTTAAGTACCATGTTAAAATAAAATAAAATTAAGCCTTAATAAAGCTTTACTTAACTACCTGAGCTCATGCTGTGCTTTGCTGTTTCAACCCCTGCAAAGTCCATTGGTTGAACCATTCAACGGACACTTATCAATGTCTTATAGTGTTGATTATCTTTTTATATCTATCTATGCCTATCTTCTTTCACTGGCTAGACTCTAAATTCCAACATACAATGAACTTTTTTTCTTTAAACTTCTATATTCTCCACAAAACCAAGGACAGTACCTGCACAAAGAAAACATGTAATAAATATGGAGTATTATTCCAAGCACATTATATAGTATATTTTGGAAAGAGTAGGAGGGGAAGTACATTAAAATCCTACCCATATATCAATAGAAAATCTGGCTTTCTCATTTTTGGGTCCAGAAATATTGCCTTTTGTTTTTTTACCATTAAGAAAAATTCAGAACACTTAAAGCATTATTTTATTATCTTCTGATGAGATTATAGTTTGTTCATTCAACAGTTTATTTATTAAGTATGTTCTTTGTGAGGGCCATCGTGTGTGTATATATATATATATGTGTGTGTGTGTGTGTGTGTGTGTGTGTGTGTGTATGCATGTACATGTATATATGTATGCATACATATATGTGTACATATGTGTGTATATATACATACAGAGAGACACATATATACATACATATATATCAGTATGGTATAATGGATAGAGAGCTGGCTAGAAAGATGGTATTATAACATGCATAGACAGCCAGCCTGACAATCAGAAAGACCTAGGCTCAAGTCTAGCCTCTGACACATACTGTCTGTGGTATTCTAGAAAGTCACTTAATCTCTCAGAGTTCTAGAGAACTCTTGAGAATCTTGGGATCATAGTTAAAGAGCTAGAAAAGACCTCCAATCCAACCACTTCATTTTAGAGATGAGGAAACTAAGGTCTCTCAGAGGTTCCTGAAGTGGGTGATATCACCCCCAGGGGTCCTAGAATGATCCAGGGGCAGTAATAGTAGCCTCAAGTACAATTGGGGCACATTGAATAAAAATAAGAGGGAGGTGGAAACATAAGGAAAAAAGAGAAGATAAGAAAATTTTGAAAAATCTTTTGTATATGTTTCATCTGTTGTGTAACAGAGTTAAAGTCATAGTGATTACACTATTTTCCAAATATATACACAAAATGCCAGTTATAACCGATCAGTGGTCACCCCTGACAGGTCTTAACAAGCAAGTGTTTGCACACTGTCGGGAAGTCCAGCATGCATCAGCAGGAATATGTGCGTGTTAATGACTTTTTACATTATGATGCTGTATGGTTACATGGTGCAATAATGCACAATCAAAACTTTCAATGCAGGTAAAAACACTTAAATTTAATAATTTATTGTAATATGCATCATTTAAAGTTTATTTTGAAACGATGCAAATTAAAAAAAAATAAAGGATTAAAGAAAGTAGATTTTCTGGGGGGCATTGAGCAATTTCTTTTTTGAAAAGGGGCTAGTAGGCCAAATAAGTTTGGGAATCTCTGGTCTAAAGAAATTGAGTGACTTGCCCAAGGTTATACAAAAATAGATTACAGCAGGAACAGTATTCAAAAGAAGACCCTCTGACCACAGAGGCTGTGCTTTTTCCACCACCTCCTACAGACTAGAAACTGAAGAAAAGTTGCTTACCAAGGTAGGTAAAGGGAGTTTCCTTATCCAAGAATTCTCCATATCAGTAAAATCACAGGTTCCAATACTACTTATCAAGTTCCTACTCTGTGCAGGGTCCTGTGCAAGTCACTAGAAGTACCAAGTTTAGTTAAGTCATGGTCCTTGCCTTCATAATAATAGTAATAAGAACTTAAATTTATATAGTGCTTACTATCTGCCAGGCACTATGCTAAGCACTATTCAATTATTTCATTTAATCCTCATGGCAGCTGAGGGAGGGAGGGACTATCATTGTCCCCATTTTAAAGATAAGGAAAACAGAAGTTATGTGACTTGCCCAGGGTCACGTAGCTAAGTGCCAGAGGCAGGCTCTTGAATACAGATCTCTTAGAATCCAAGCCTAGTGATCTTTCCACCATACTATATGCTTCCCATATTAACTGAGTTGACTTTTATAGAAAAATAAGACTTCTAACAGTAAAAGAAAGTACATTTTAGGCATAGGCTGACATAAAGCCATGGAGATAGAAGATGGGATGTTGTTTGTGAAACAGTAAGAGATATTATAATATAGAATGACACAATTAAAGTAATATGAAATAAATCGGGAAAGGCAGGTTGGTGTCACAAAGCAGAGGGCTTTAAATACCAGGTTGAAGAGTATGGATTTTATGTGAGAGATGGTGGCAAGCTTCCAAAGCCTTTTCAGGTTAGTGACATGGTGAGATTTGTGCCTTAGGAACTAGAAAACACTTCCTTGGCAATCTAAAAAAGAAAAAAAATTGGAGAGGGGACAGAATGGAATCAACGAGAGTATTGTGATAGTCTAATGAGAGATGATGATGGTTTGAATCAGGCTAGTAGAGCTTTTCAGAGATTAATCTTGGTGACAAGACTAACATAAAATTATTTAAGAACAATTAAGAGGGAAGCAACATTAAGTAATGGGGGGGATACCTGTCCTCAGAGTCTCATCTCCAATAGTCAATCAGTCAAAAATAATTTATTAAGTACCTATTATGTGCCAGGCATTGTGCCAAAAGGTGGAGATACAAAGAAAGGCTAAAGGCAATACCCCCACAGTCGAGGATTTCCCAGTCTAATAGTGAGGCAACATGTAAGCAGCTATGTACAAACAAACTGCACACAGGATTAAGTGGAAATAATCAACCAAGGAAAGGCACTAGAATGAAAGGGGGGTTGGGAAAGGCTTCTTGCAGTAGGGGGAATTTTAGCTGAGACTTGAAGGAAGCCAGAAACGACAGTAGGCAGGGAATGATGAGGGAGAGAATTCCATGCACGGGGACAGCCAGAGAAAATGCTTGGAGTCTGGAAATGGAGCTTTCTGGAAATGGAGTTCCTGGAAATGGAACGCTAAACACGTTGAGGAACACTGAAGAGGCCGGGATCATTTGATCATAGAGTATTTGGAGGAGTGGGGAAGGATGTGATAAGATGTAAAAGGACTGGAAAGATGGTGGGGAGGGCAGGTTATGAAGGGCTTTGAACATCAAGCAGAAGATTTTGCTTTTGATCTTGGTGATATGTAGCCACTGGGGCTTAATAAGTAGAATACATACTGGCTATGATAATAATAACAACAACAACAATATTAACTAGCAGTTATATAACACTTCATGGTTTGTGCCACAAGGTAACTATTCATTTCAGATGAGGTTCCAATCTGTACTGGGAGAGAGAATTTCCTCATCGAAAAATCCTTATAGGAATGAAATCCCAGGTCCTGTCCAAAAAATGAAATGAAAAAGAACAGTTATGTGCAACAGAAGCTGAGAGAAAGGACTGATCTGATATGGACTGTGGTAGTATGGAAAAGATTAAGGGGATGTTTGTAGAATTAAATTGAATTGA